GGAATGACTCTGTCCCGAAGCCTCATAGGGATTTAAATGTCGAACAGCACATTGAGGCTCCAAAATTTTATTTCGAAAAGCTTCAAAAGACTCAATCTCGAAAGCTTTCCAAAATTCTTGCGATATTTCGGTGCTTAGCACCTTCGTCAGGCCTGAAATAGCATTTCTTATTGGCGAAGGACAATATACGGAACATATTGAACCAACTCACACGCGCCGCATCAGAAAATTCCAACTTACTCGACGAGAAATTGGATAGCCTATAGCAGCTTTTTGAAATGAATTGTTGGAGCTCCAAATTCTTGTTCAGCATTTAAACCTCGTATTTAGCTTAAGAAAAGGAAGTAAGAAAAGAAGTCTTCAGAATGGTTTCTACGGCGACGTTTCGGGCTTTAAAGGTGTATCTTACAAGATGGCCGCCTTGGAAATAAGAAAACAAAAAATAGAGAAAGGTGCGGCACTGAAGAAAACATTGAGAAAAAGGACTCAGGACAGATTCGACCCAGAATTGGGTTCCTTGATCATGCGTGTGGTAGCGATCATTCTTGCCACTGCTCCATAACCGTTCTTCTGCTTAACAAGATTACCAATACATGTTTCCATTGCTGAATTCAATCGTTCATTAAAGCATATGCGGTGCGTGAGTGCATAAAAGCCAATGACATCAAATGAGAAGGTACGCTTTTCCAAACATCTGCTTTGTTCTCACCGGCTTTTGAAAAAATATTGTGTCATCGTGGAACCTCGTACTCCCACTTTCGCAACTGTTGAAAGTTGCCTTTTTCGGAGACCACACAAAAGTCGCTGTTGTCAGCGCCAGAATGTGCTTGAACAACAATGCTCTAGTTCCTGTGTGGAGAACATTTAATCAGAACAAAGATTATGAAGCCACTTTTGAATCGAAACTTGGCTTCAAGCGTCCTGCTTTGAAAAGCATGAATTGAAGGTAGGGAGAGCTGTGGCACCTGAGTGACAAAAAGTGGGAATAAAGAAAAGAGCTTCAAAAAGCTCTAACACTCTAACACATTAAGATAAGCCGACGCGTCCTTTTTGATCTGCGTACACATTTCAAAACGCCTAAAACAGATATCATACAGAACCATTAATGCAAAATTCTTAGTTGTATTGATTTACCCAGGTCACTAAACGTTCCATGGGTAGATGGAATCCTTCCCTGGTAAGACCCCATGGCATGAAGCAATGAGGTTTATCTTTTTGATGTTTTTGACGTTTTTTCCTTTTTCTCCATTGCGGTCCACCGCCCCTGCTGTCATATTATATTTATATTCATTTTCCAGTTGTTCTCGATCGTACATGCTTCACTCTATTCCGTTCCGTGTGCGATCATCTACGACTCTGTACATAGCAATGGACTTGAGCAAAGCCCGGTCAGCAACATCCAGCCTGCACATCCGTTTCGTGATGCCCCCTACCAAGATCTTTGAATAAAATAATTCCAAACGTTTTGAAGCATGTGAAACCGATCACTCCCTTTCAATGTTATTCTATCAAAATAAAAAGGGAAGTCGTCAAAAGGGCCTCGGTTTCTAGAAAATCATCAATTCATAAAACATAAGAAAGTGGGTTTTTAAAATCTCGATCAAATAAGTCGTAGACAACAACAGGCGGCTTATCAACTTCTACACGAGAAGAGAAATGATGGCTTGAGCGCAAGATTTACCGATCACTCCTAGGAAGGACAACCCTTCAACATTACAAGAGGTGTTGGAAAGGTATCCCTACTAGATAAACGCTCTCTGTGTGTCTGCGTGTATGTATGGGCTTGGTGATAAGTCTAGCGTGAGAAACTCTGTCAGTTTTCAGTGGAAGAGACACTCGCGAGCAATGAGCGCCCTCCAAGCAATGCGAAGGCCAGAAACATCCCCGCAAATGTGCGGGGTTATCGTACTGAGTCGCTGAAATGCTGAGTTCATGGAAGTGCTAGATGCTCAAGTCGAAGACGAAGATGCCGGAAAAGAAGAAGCGCAAAAAGAACCGATTGGTCCAGAAAATGCACGCGCAGATGAGCCCGAAGAGCATCAGCCTTAGAAAGCGCCCGTCGACCTGGTCAATGGTCATTATAGGTTCGAAGTCGAAGAAGAACTTCGATTGAGGCGCCGCTCTTATGTGAATTTAGCGAGCGTGGAAGAGGAAATGCTGCAACAGCTAATGTGACCACCTCGTCGGTTCAAGCAAGGAGCGATCAGCCGCGACGAAGAGAAGTTCATGAGATGCGCATTTTGTGGTGCTATGGGCCAGTATTATTCAGAAGGAAGCCATCACGGTGGAGAACCGCCG